GTGCTATCACTGCTGTAATATAGGTGTATCATATATTAAGAAAATAGATTTTATATTACTATATTAAGAGGCTTGGCGGTCTTTTAATCATGTATGTAATTTTAAATGTTATTTTGATATATGAAATGTATTGTTGTACAGTAGTTTTGTTGTGTTGTATTTTAAATTTTGATGATGATGACTATCTGATTATGCATGTATATTTATGTGTTATATTGCGCTGCTGACTTCTTCTATATTTTGAAGCAGACCCCTTTGTGGATTTTTTAACTGTAATAAATGAATGAATGAATGTATGAATAAAATGTATATTTAAATGAACACTGTTGCCTATTGCTAGAATGCAATGGACTATGGAATAAATACTCAGGAAAAAGGTGCTATTACTGTTATGATACAGGTGTATTATATATTAAGAAAATAGATTTTATATTACTATATTAAGGATCTTGGTGGTCTTTGATCGTATATGTAATTTTATATGTTATTTTGATATATGGAATGTATTGCTGTACAGTAGTTTTGTTGTATTGAATATTTAAATTTTGACGATGATGACTATCTGATTATGTATGTATATTTATATGCTATATTGTATTATTGACTTGTTCTATATCTGAGGCAGATGCCTCTATGGATTTTTTTGGAACTATAAATAAATGAATGAATGAATGAACGGATACGTGTATGACAATTAGTTTCTGAGATATACATTTTTTATTCTGGATACCTTTCATCCGGACACCCAGTATATATATTCCAGATGAGGCACAACTTCAGGTCACCAAGCATATAACATACTCTCTCACACCATGTCAGACATTAAATCAGAAATAAACTCACTCCCTGCAAATGTTTCTATACATCAAATTAAAAAAGTATTTTAATTTATAAAGCATTCCTAATACATTTAAATAAATATACTGTATAAGCAGAAATAAATGTATTTCCTAACATACAAATAAAACTGGAATCTATTTTAGATCTTAAAAAAAAAGTGTTATTCTATACTCTCCTTTGAGTGAAAAAAATCTATATTTTAAACTCTCACTGATTACAGACACACCTCGTTTTATGAACATCCAACTTTCAAATTGTCACAATAAAAAAGCATATTAATTTGTACCTATTTTTCACTCAACAAACTTCATTTTTCCTGCAATGAAATTTTGTTTGTAAGAATTTTTTCTGTGAAGAAGAAGAAATATATACAACACGTGGGAAGAAGGGGGCTTATAAATAATAAATGTTTGAGACAGATATTTTTTCCATCATATTTGTGCATTGCATTTAACACAATTTTTACGTGACCATTCTGCTTCCGGCATGAACCTTTGTGTGTGACGCACCTGCCAATAAATTAATATCTTTCATTGTTGTTGATACCACACCAAAGTGCAGTCTGTATTTGTTTTTAGCTATGTCATGCAACTGAGGCTTCATTCACACAATAATGAGGTTACCTCATTTCCATTACATCAGCTGAGAAGACAAACATGAATAAAATAATAGTTTTATTTGCAACATTAAATATAATAAACAAGTAATGCTGTTCTTATTTTAATCCTTATTTAATAATAAAACATACATTGAAAAGTATTTGGGGATTTTTCTGGGACTTGTGAATGAGTTCACAACTTTTAAATGTAAAGTGATGGGAATATGATTTTTGATTTATGAATTTTCACCTTACAAACAGTTTTCAAGGAATGAATTACCTTCATAAATCCAGGGATACCATTATTTAAGAACTGCATAAAACAGCAGCAATAGTGTGTATTGTTCAGATCATATTTATATAATTAAACAGCCTGTTAAACTGCCATAATTACTCACTATTACGCTGTCTGAATTAACAATGCTGACATTACCCAATGTACTTTATATCACCTGGAATTCTTAATAAGCTACACTAAATTTGAAACCATTAACCAAGAAATTTAGAGAGAGAAAGAGAGAAAAAAAGACATAAATATCAAAATGAATAATAATTAAAAATTTAATACAACTGAAAAAGGAACTTAAAAGTAGATAGGAAAAATTAATAGAAAAAGCAATGGCTTTATAATAAACTCAACTATTGGTCCCAAGAACTACATCTCCAGAATACCTGTTAGATGCACAGAAATATGTAAGTAGGCTTACGCTCTAGATTACCTTCATGAGAATGGCAGACAAGCGAGCAGCCATGCGCTGAAGCCAGTGCTGACACAGTTGGCGAAGGTGTAGGAAATAGCTGTAATGTTGATAGCTCACTGTCAGAGCAAGAGAATATGGAACACTCAACTTATGATCCTGTAACTGGAATACTACAGATTGTGCTATGAGGTCTAATTCTGGAACAATGAATAGACCACTGCTTCTCTGCCCTAGATCTCCAGAAGCACTACCATAATTTGCTGACAGAACTGAGTTTAAACCAGTACAATTCACTGTGTGAACTGTCACATACTTCACAGACTTTGCTAGGCACATGTTCCTGATTGTGTGTTGGCCCAGTGTGCTTTTTGAATCCAAGCTTCTTACATCTGCATCATCTTTTAACCATACGTGAACCGTCTGTGGGCCCATAATATCATCCCACTTGGAAAGAACAACAGCAGATACTATATTATCTTCTTCAGAAGGTAAGATATAAGAAACAGATGAATTAGCACCATGATCATTTGGTAAACTGTATTCAGCTGGTGGATCTTGCTTGATTTCTTGTAAGTAAGTCCTGTCTGCTGTACTAACTGCTGGAAATTTATTGCTTTTAGAAGTATCAACATGAAAAAAATGACATACCTCCTCTTGGGCAGAACTAGCAATATTTGAACTCACAGCCACAGACCTTAACACAGGCAAAACATTTTTGCCTGAATTTGAATCTATATTACATATGTCACCACTGTCCATTTTGATTGCAGGTCCAAAATTTGATACTAAGTTTTCTACGGTGTATGGGACTGAAATCCTGTTAGAACTGTGAAAGGGCTCTTCCATAACAACCATATTGATGACTTTATCACAGCGTGTTCTTTATTTAGCTGTCTGGCACTATACAAATGTAACTCTTCACAATAAAGAGCAGTCCCACATTAATTCCAAAAATCATATACGAAGTGTAGCTATCTCCATATCAAACATTGTTTTGTGTCTTACACCTTCAATGAAATGACAGAAACTTGTCAGTTCCCATATCAACACCCAATTGGCTAATATGTCCAAAAACGTTACAAACCACAAATTATTTTCCATCAGATCTGGAATTGCCAGAAAGATGACACCTAAACCACAAATTGTTACTATCAAAGCAATATACAACCCTAGCATTCCGAAATGAATCAGGACTGTATGCTGTACAAAGCAAAAGAGAAGACTTGCTTTCAAATTATCTGCAATGTGAAATATTCATGGATACAAAACTGCTTCATCTTCCTTGAACTATCATTGGTAGTGTTTACTTCATGTTCATGCAACTCTAAAATTCTCTTCTTTTAATTCTAGCCCTACATTTGTCACATAGTCACAGAGGCCAACACAGAATAGGCTTTAAAACCTGAGAATAACAAAACACTCCGGGAACCTGAAATTGTGGCCTGTGGAATGACCTCTTTATTAAACTGACTGTCGTCAACGTCGTTAACATTGCCAGTGGCGTAACTACCGGGATAACTAATCCATTCTTCTGTATATGACGTTTGCAGATGACAGCGATCAACCTACAACAAATAAAATATTTACAAGATACTACAAAAATGTACCTCTGAACAAGATATTGTAAAACAATTCAGATACTTTAGACGTGCATAATACAATTTCTAATACAAGAAACTCACGTTTTTGTATTGATATACACTTATTCTGAAATTCGGTTATACAAGCAATAAAAAAGAGAGGTACAACACCAAACAGAACAAGTAACTTTGTACTCAGGAACTTTGAATTGAACTGATAAGATAAGATAAGATAAGACGATATGACGTTTCACAGAACTTCGCAAAATAGCGCAATACGAAACAAATTACATTGAATAACCTTCCACAAACTTCTTGGCGCTTCTTAACCTTCTAAACTTGTAGGTACGTAGGTATAATAGGAACTTCAACAGTGGCAACACATACCATACATACTAGCACCAGCAGCTCCGCCTACCAATCGCTAAAAATTCCCTGCAGTCTGTGTATGTACTGCCTCTAGCTGGCGTAGAAGTTCGAGTAATATAACAAAGAAAACCAGTGATTGGAATTAATTATCCTTGCACGACTAATTTGAAAAGAACAAACGCTCATAATGGGTAAGACTAAACTTTGTCTGAAATATTTTTAGCGTACGTCACACCTTGGGAGCCTGGATAGCCACTAGCTACGGGGTGACGATTGAGATGTTGGATTTCGAGTTCCGGTATGGTCATGAATTTTCTCTTCTCCAAATCGTCCAGACTGACTCTGGGGTCCACCCAACCTCGTATCCAATGGGTACCGTGGGGGTGGTTCTTTCCCCGGGGTAAAGCGGCCGGCGAGTGAAGCTGACCACTTACCTCCAGCTAGTGCCGAGGTCAATAAAATGTGGCTCTGTACATCCACTCCCCCATACACCTTCATAGCGTAGTGCTTAATTAGTTACGCACAGGGAAAACTTACGTCACGCCCTGAGTAGGCAACCTTACGGAAGAAAAGTTCTGTAGAGCGACAGGGCGGGTGATGGTGCCATGATTTATAATTGTTGAAGGATAATTGTTCCACGGATTACTCATGGCGTCTGAGCAGTGGCGGCTCGTGATTTAAATGAACGGTGAGGGCCAAACCAAAGAATAGTTTTCTTTTTAGTTCCTTGGGGTGGGATGAGACAGTCCACTTGGTACTTTGACCACTAATTGGCCTATTGTACCTGGCCCGGATAACATATGAGTACAGAGCATTTGGAGGAATGAGAATTGGCAGAAGAAACCGAAGTACTTGGAGAACCTGCTCCAGTGCCACTTTGTCTACCACAAATCCCACATGACCTGCCCTGGGATCGAACTCGGAGCGCTGAAGTGGGAAGCCGGCGACTAACTGTCTGAGCTAAGGCATGGTCAACCACAGACTAATGAATCTGTAGTATGACATTAATGGATATGGTGTTGATAGTATTAATAATCTTTATTTAAGAGCAATTTTTAAAACTAAATTGCCGTTTAACTAATCGGTCTTGATAGTGGTGTCACTACTCTTACAATTCGTCTTTCATTAATTTGATCCTGTTGTGTCATCAACAGATACCCCCAGTACTCTCGTCACTAAACTGTGCACACACACCCTTCCTATGCCGCAGTTAAGAAACCCCATGTCATATTTAATGTAGTCTACATCATTGTGGTATTGATGACTTCCGTACCTCACCTATTAGTGCTATTAAACGGCATGCTTCAAGAAATTCATGAAGTTATGTAATATAATAAATTCATAAGAAATTACCTTATTTGTAAAAAAATGGCCCTCTTCAGTATTTCTGTGATGCAAACATTCTATTACTTTCCGTCTGAATCTCGAAGCCCTGCAGTTACATCTCTGTGGGCATGTAGAACAGCCAACGCTTTAAGACCTTGCCACATGGAGTTCCTAAGATAGGTCTTTACTCCTTTTAAAGTGCTACAGAGTGGGGAAAAAGTTGTAAGGGCTTATTTTTGGTATCTTTGGGACTATAACAGATACAATTAAGGTTTTCACATCAGATAACAGTGTNCCCCCCCCCCCCCAAGTACAAAGATGTGGAAAAGTGGACAGTCCAAGAACGCTTCTTTATAGTATAACTCTTATTTTAAATATGGATCCTCCAAAATATATCTGCCCAAGGAGCCTTCAGAAGAATATTTCAAGTTCATACAGCCCTTTCAGAGCATGCCATCAGAAAATGTGTGACCAAATTTCATAATAATGTTATTGTGGTGGATGCACAGTGGCATGCTGCCAGAACTGACAGAGTCATTGAACAAGTGCATGATAGCATATTGAACAGTAGGCAGAAATCAACAAGATGACAATCTTTAGAACTTCAGTTGTCCATAAGATGTTTAACATGAATTCTGAAATGTATTTTGAATTGTTTTCTAAATAAAATTAAGTTACTTCAAGAGTTGAAACCCACTGATAATGCATCACAACTGCATTTCATATGCAGTTTACTGGAACTTACTTATTACAAAAATGAATTTATCTCCAGCTGATAATTTGTGCTGAAGCATATTTTAACCACAGTGATTATGTAAATGAACAAAATTATAGGGCGTGGGCCACAGAAAACCTGAAAGTGACTCACAAACGGCTTTTGAATCCACCACAGGTTAATGTTTGGTGGGAGATTCAGCTTATGAGATAATCAGGCCTTACTTCTTTGTACACTACAGCACAAATGCAGCAACTGCAATAACGGAGAATTTCCTAACTACTGCTATAGAACTGAGAAATCTTTAGGATGCTTTGCATCAGCAGGACAGTGCCACCTGTCACACTGACTGGCACACCATGCACACAGTGCATACTGTGCACATCCCAGAAGATGGCTTTCTTCATAGTCACCGCTGTGAAAACCTCAAATCTTACATTCCAAGAGTTGTTTCCCAACAGGGCGATCTCTTGTAAAGGAGATAAGAATTACAAGAATTTGTCACCAAGATCATCTGATCTTGCCACTGATGATTTCTTTTGTGGGGGTTCCTGTAAAAAGGGGTGTCTGTGAATTAACCATGAACACTACAGCACCTAAGTGACAATATAAGGGAAGAAATATAGATTATTAGCCAAGACACTTTGTGGAAAGTAATGGAAAATGCCATTTTCGAAGCTCATCAATATGTTGCACTGGGTGGTGGGAATTTAAAAAACACAACTTAAAATTCTGTAATTTATAATGGCCCCCATACCTTTCCATTGAGACTTTGGGACACAAGACTTCTAGATAAAGCACCATTTTCTGTAGCTGTATAACAAATATTAAGAGTTCTTTTCATGTTAATTGTAATGAAGCTCTGATCAAAATAAATATACATATTCATTCACTGAGACAAATTTTTTTTTATTTGTTTCATTCTGGTCCGTCACATTAACACTTATAAATACAAACTACTCCGTCCAATGTGACATATAAGTTTTTACTACGTTAAAAGTTATCTCCCTTACATGTTTCGGTCCTTATGGGCCATCTTCAGAGGGAACATCATTACAAACTGGAAACTACCATCACAATAGGTGTTTTGATTTAAAATACATACACTTATATCCTATAATGCACAGTACGCATAAAGTCAAACATTTCACAATCACAGCAGCTCCTGGTGTTGTAAAGTTTTTAAAAGTTTCTAGATGTTATTTAAAAAACCTTCATTGTCAATAGTTTTTTTTTTTACCACGTAGGTTCATGTCCGTACTCCTATCAACGTCCTTGTATGGGGCAGATTTTGTGCCACCTGTCTATCTTGATGAGGAGGTTCTTGATGTCGTCCAGGGTTTGTTCATGGCTTGCAGGAAGCCATACAAGAAGGACGATAGGAGTACGGACAGGAACCTACGTAGTTTAAAAAAAAATTTTAACTATTGCCAATAAAGGTTTTTTAAACAACATCTAGAAACTTTTAAAACTTTACAACACCAGGAAGCTGCTGTGATTGTGAAATGTTCGACTTTATGCGTACTGTGCATTATAGGATATAAGTGTATGTATTTTAAATCAAAACACCTATTGTGATGGTAATTTCCAGTTTGTAATGATGTTCCCTCTGAAGATGGCCCATAAGGACCGAAACATGTAAGGGAGATAAGTTTTAAAGTAGTAAAAACTTATATGTCACATTGGATGGAGTGGTTTGTATTTATAACTGAGACAAAGTTTCTTTAATTAATTTTTTTCCATAAATATGAGACTCACTCTTATAAACAAACACAGAGAATACCAACTAGCTGATTTCCATTTTCACACCTTGGCTTTATTTCACCCTTCTATGACAGAATTTTATACTTATGTCAATGAAGGTACGACCTCTGTAATGGTGGTGGAGTAGCTTCTGGTGAAAGCTGAATACCCAGATGGAAATCCAGAGCATGCTCAACGAAGTGTAGTTACCTATCAAAAGAATGGATTATGGTACAGGTCTTTCACAATTCTACATTCCACTGGGATCTTAATTCCGTATTACTTTCCAGTAGTTAGGTTCAGTTTAGGCATTACAGTGGAACCTCACTTAATGAGCACCTCTCATAATGAGTAATTCGCATAACGAGCAAAACAAATTGTAAAAAAATGACTCGCTTAACGAGCAACGTTTCGCATAACGAGTAACGAGAGGGGAAGTCCCGGATTGTGCGCTTGCTGCATCAGTCTGTGTTTAGGACTCGTTCCGCTAGCATCTTAGTGTCGCTTGTGATCACACATTTTTCCAAACTTGTCTTCAGACATATTATTTGTGATTTTTTGTGCAAAGTTTAATAACCCTTGCAAAAATGTCCCCGAAGAAAAGGCCGCAAAAAGACAGCCATAAAAGAATAAAAATAACCGTAGAAATGAAACGTAAAATCATTGAAAAGCGAGAACGAGGTGTGAGCGTGGCTGATCTAGCACGCACATACAGTCGGTCTACATCAACGATTTGCACGATTTGGAGTTGCATTGTGTTTCACAGCAAGAAGTTGTGGAGGAGAGTTTGTCAGAGGAGGACGAGGTAACAGCAAAGCAACAATCTTCTGGCGCAATAAGAGAAATGCTGAAAGCATGGGAAACTGTTGCATCGTACATTGAGAAGCATCACCCTAATAAGGCAGTGACTATGCGCGCTATAAATTTATTTAATGATAATGCTGTGTCGCATTTTCACCAAATTTTGAAGCATCGGCAAAAACAAATGTCTCTCGACAGCTTTCTAGTAAAAAAGAATTAGATATGTATCATAAATAATAAACTAATTATTTCGATTTTTTTTTTATTTCCTGCAAATCGAATTTGCATTCCAGGTTGGTTCATTCCGCATAGAAGAAAAGATGAAGATGATTCATGCTCCTTAACAATGTATATATAATTTTCTTTGAATAGACATTATACATAAATTTTTTGAGTATTTTTTCTGGTATGGAATGCATTATTGTATTTTACATTAATTTATATGGGAAAAATTGTTTCGCTTAACGAGTGTTTCGCATTATGAATAAGATTCTGGAACGAATTATGCTTGTTAAGCGAGGTTCCACTGTATTAGTTTATCAAGTTAAGAGAGTATTCTTTGTAATGTGGACATGACATAGTATGCAAGTATGTACTTGTAGGTATGGTGTCTGGTAACTTGGGAGTTACGTCCCAGCTCTCCAGCCAGCTGCATCCTAGACACATCATAGTAGGCAAATAACCTACGTTTTAGATCCAACTACAATAACTGAAGAATTCCACTACTTAGTATTCTGCATCTATGACAAACTTCCATGCCAATAAACAACTATGACACAATCTTGACTCTGCCACACACCACACCAACAATTTGCACATTAGATCACCTTCAGCATATACAAGATTCTTTGCCAACATAGCATAATACATTTTACACGTATATACCTCACAGAGCCTATTTATTATATATAAACTATGTCAATAAACTAGATTTGTCAATAATATAAAATATTAAACTGTCAACAGATACCGCATTATTCCTGTCACTATACCACACTTAATAAGTCCTGCATTATATTTAATCTACTCTATATTAATCTTTTCAGAAGTTTAAGAAAAACACTATTATTTATATTTTATCGCTTAGTACAAGAATTTATTATGACATTTTTAATTTTAAAAACTCATCCATTTCATTCTGCAATTTAATAAAAATGTATGTTATTTATTTGCAAATAACCTGACAATGGTCCCTATGCCTGAAATGCAGTGACTGAATGAGACAATAAACTTGATTAAACCATTCACACTTGTATCTATTTTAATCGATTTTTATTTAAATTTAATTGATTTTGTTATGTCAATCGCTTCTGTGCCCCAATTTCATAACAAGGGTATGAAATAAACGATTAGCTCAGTTTAACCTCGCTGGACCTGAACCATAATCTGTACTGATGCAGGACAAGTTTGATATTATTTGAGACAAAATACACAGTAGCCTAGTCCTAAATATAATGTTCATAGTGATCTTGATGTTAAACTGATTAAGCTATATTTGCTGTTGGCTTCTAAAAACTGTTACGAGAAAATTTTGCAAAAAGAGGTCCGCAGACAGTCATATTGGTGAAAGCAATCACATCTCTTTCTTGACAGGAAGAATAATTTGCATGTGTACACAAACTACTGTAAACTATAGGTACCAAAATAATCTTGAGGTACCTTTGTTGACTAGTGCTTAGGCTTGTTGTGTTATGAGTGGGTGAATAATATTAATGCTTTTCTGCTATAGTTAAGCGCTTCAAATGTACCTTTCAATACCATGTGTTATTTATCGCTGATGATGATCTTCTTTATGGCTTATTTAACAATGTTGTTAGTATTCATCTATATAGTGTCAGCTGGTAGGATGACTGATGAATCTTTATCTAGAAAGGGTTTCAAAGGAAACTATCCTGACATTTGCATGGAGGGACTGAAGAAAATCATGAAAACTTCAGTCAGAATGGGTAGTGACCCAGCTTAGATTCAAATTAAGAACTTTCATAACACAACTTTACAGTGATACCTGTAGACCAGCCTGTTCAATAAGATGTTCTTAACAGTCTTGACAACTAAGTTAAAACTTACTTAAGACTACAAAGTTGAAAAATACAGTTCCTAGTGTTTGAAGTTATATCTACCACGTGTCTACTTATTTTTTGTTATTGCTGAGAGAACTAATGATTTTATGTTTATGTACAATTTGTTGCTGAACAAGGTTGAAGTCAGTAGTAGACAGGCTTACTAGGTAAAGCATATACTTCACTAAAATATGTCTTATGATTTTCATGGAGTTGTAAATTTAAGCAGTCTTATAATGTTTGTTGCCATATTATTATGAACATATAAAGGTCTACTGGGGTCAGTTTTTGTTTTAGATAGAGCTCTCACATAAGATTCTGCTGAAATGATCTGTATATGCACACACTTGAAAAGAAAAGTCTTCCAAATCTTCATGAACTAATTCACATTTCATGATAAATACTAACTACGCTTCACACATCCACTTTCAAGTATTCTCAACACTCACAGAATAGGAACAATACACTGGGGGGGGGGGTAAATTTTTGCTCATTGTGATATATTCTACACTTTTGTACAGTCCAGCAAGACAGGTCTGTATGTGTTCACACACACACAAAAGCTGTTGCTGTCATAATCCACAATAGAGTGATTTCATGGCTTTCATACTTCTTATTGTAAGATGTTCATTTTTTCTGACACCATGGTGATATTAGCTTTTGAATAAGTGGTTCTGAATCTCCAGAGGTGGTTCCACTCATAATTTAAATAAGCAAAAAATATTTACAGAATTACATATCAAGATGGATTGATAAATATGTTTGATAATAACAGAGACACAGAGGATTTAATCTTAAACAAACTTTATTTAATCTTGCTCTTGCAATGGAAGTTTTTAAATAAAAATGTTTATTGCTTGAGTATATGAAATAACTTCTTGAGATGCTTCCCAGTATTTTCTCAAAGTTACTGTGCATCTAACCAGTTACAGAACATCAGCTAATACTAAATGAAAAACAGGCATAAATAGAAAGTTCAGACTGAGCTGCTGAGTTTAACGAAACTGGTTCAGGATTCCTTGCAGTGGCCACATCATCAAAAAATTAAAATTGTACCTGCTATTGCAAAGTAAGATACTGTGGTTAACACAGGCCGTTTTTCAAGGGATGAAGTGGTGCCTGCATCAAGTTGAAAATCCTTCCCTCTGTACTGAAATCTTCTGCTGTTTCTTCTCTTTTTTGTGAGTATTCAGGGGCATTCGCCCAGGCATTTCCATTACATTTGATTCAGATTAAAAGAAATTCACAGCCAATAACCTTCACTAGCAGTAGCCATAAATTTCCAAGCAAGAGTCATGCTTGAGAAACAGAAACTCTGCCATGTGTGTAATATTTTTCTGAAATTTTGAACACAATTAGAAGCTGTTGAATCTTGTAATGGAATTTATTTTATAGAAGCAAAAGTCAAGTTTTATGGACACATAAGAAAGTAATCAGTGACAAGAAGAATACATTGCTTCCTTCAGGAGTAATTTAAGTTTTGAAAGCGCAAAATTTTCAGTCTACTCAAATATGCAGTTTATTAAAACAAGAATCTTATAGTTTTGGAAGCCAAGCAACAGAGCTAAGACTCATATATTTCCACAGAGAAAAAATATTGCTATCCTTTATGCCAAGAGATCAAACAAATGGGCTGTAATACATGTAGGGTTATTATTCAGTTTCAAAATAAGTTCACGTTCCTTCCAAATGCTCTTATATATTAGATTCTCTGTCTGTTACATGGTGATATTTTAAACTCAATATTTGTTCAAATATACTGTATTGTAAATTTAATTTTTAATATTAGTATCTGTTAAATCATAAGTAATTGTTATAATCATCTGGGATTTGACTGGAGTTTGGAGATGTGCAAGTACAGAATATGCCTTTGAAGGCACAACCCTTTGCATGCTGTTCATAGCAGTATACTGCAGTGCATTCATGTTCCATTCCTGGGAGCACCAGCCTACTGGGCAAAAACACAGACCACCATATTGAAGAATTCCCACTCGCAACAGAAGTACCTTTATATTATGTATGACTTTTGCTGCAGATAGCAATTATTATCTCATAGCACCAGGTATTTTACATCTTCCTTGATGTAACTTATATGTATGTCTGTTCCATGTATATATAAGTGCAATACTTTTTCACATTTCCAAACTACTGGAACCTGCACCTTGAGGGGGCCACACTATTTCACATATTAATACTGTTGAAACATGTATTTTGAGATGGCCAGACTTTAACCTTCCAGGTTTCACAGGGGAAAATTGGTTACCACAATTTGTTACTGCTGACTGGAAAATTAATGTTAGGAATCAATGAAAAGGCAGTCCAGATTTATGTTTGTCTAGTGTAACTTCTCTAATGGAACTTGTCAACAAAGAAAGAAGAAGAAAAACAGTTCACACATTGGTCTCTGACTACCTTCCCAGGAAAAACAGTACATTCTAATGAGATTAATATAGAACAAAGTAGTATCACAATGACAATTTGTACCGTTAAAACGTCATCTGAATTGGCAAACAAGTATGTTCCCAGTTTCCCATAACATTACAGCCTATTATAAAACCCTTTCAACAGTAGTGGATCCCTAGTAGGCCTAGTGATTCCAGTAATACTAATCTAATTTAAACAACAACTTCAAGTGTGGATTTATTTACACAATCCAACACTAAACATTGCCTCCGTACAAATTAAACATTTTTTCTATAGTATCTAACACATCAAACCCAGTTTTTTTATTCTTTTGTGGCTTTAGTGATTTAAAAAAAAATCTATTCAAACAAATTTGCAAGGAAACTGGCTTGAAGCACAAGTCAACATTCCCTTGTGAATATGAGGCACAAATCAACTTAAATTAAATACATGTAAAAGTGTCAAGAATTGAAGAGAAAATGTACATATTCAATCCTGACATTTACTGGTACTATTAATAATTGTATATATGTTACAATATATTGGACAGCCAGGATGCATCCTGTATTGGTTCAGTACACTGAATCAAACATTATAGCTTATTCCAAATAATTCTTTCTCAGCATATTAAAGCTTCTGACAAGGAGATCTGCAGAATAAATAATGAGGAGTATCAAAACAATTGCATATCTATACTTCAGTTTTTTCCTACAGAGGAAACTGAAATTACTGTGGGTAATCAGTTTATTGTACGGGTGTTAAGGCTAGATTTGCATTCAATTCAATGTAGAACTAATACAAAATGTTACCTGGGTAGTATTATTAATACCTTATGATTTACTATGAAAGCACAATATTTTCAACTGTTTACAAATTAGAAACCAATGGTCTTCATGCATCTCTTGTATCATAGCTGTACATTACTGCAACTTGTATTCAAAAGGTTGTGTATATATTTTGCAGTGCTATATGGATATTTGTAATTGCTTTATAATTATCAATTTCTACAATCATATTCATTCAGTTAAAAAATGAAACAAGTATTAAGCAGCTACCAAAGTGTCTCTGAAATGGAGGGCAGGCAGCACTGCCTACTGTTTCTCATAGACTCTGGAGCTTATTACTGTCTCAGGCACTACAGGTAAGTCTGTTTGTCTTATTGCTGTGGTACATATATTTCCTTTAATTGGATATGCCGAGGCATCTTTGGAATCTGTACAGTGAAACAGGTAAGCCAAATTTAGGTTCTGACATATTTTAGAAGGCTTAAACTACTCTACAAATAATTAATTTTGACTTAAGGCAACATCTGTCTTCCCTTGCCTTTCAAATGTTTCTCTTTCAAGTCAACAACTTTCTACTAGACATACAAGTTGTCAGCAATGCATTATCAGCCATAAGAATAAACAGGCTCATAACTGGTACTTTCATGACCTCATCTTTCAAAACATATTGCTAAATAATTTTATGTCACATGAATTTTGTTATACATTCTCAAAGCTAACCATTACATTCTTCCATTCTGACTACTTTGCATGTGTTCTGTGGTCATTTTAATGTATTCAGATAACATAAACTTCTTTTAAACTGACAGCATCCAAAACCATGCTACATATCTCCAGACTGTCTTCTTTCATGTGCTTGGCACTTTTCTAATGGTTACTATATGACATGCTGGCATAGAGGAAGACTATAATTAATTGCTACTAATCATAAATACCCCTAATTCCTTGTAAACATTGGGCCATGGAATAATATTTTTATTTAGAGTGTCACAGTTCATATTAACCTTAGCCCAAACACAGCCAAAATGTGGCAAAATGATATCCTATAAAAATAAGCAGCATATCCTGATGATGATGATGTCTGTCTCTAAGTTATTACCTATAACACTCACTGCACAAATGTTATTTATGGTTTCAATAAAAAAAGAAACAAATGCTAAAAAGGTTCTATAAAAACGCGATGCTATCCACCATATGCTAACTTTCATTTCCCCAAGGAAAATGTCTATATACAGTTAATATATTGAGCCTTTTTTTCCAAGTGATCAATAACGAACCAACTGACTACTCCGCAATATTATCAACAGTGGGTATATGTAACAATATATAACAAGATGCTATTTATCAAAAGTCTTTCCCAATTGAATGCCTACACTACTGACAGAGGCTTCATAAGAAGCAGGCCCTGCTATGTTTTGATTTGGCTGGCTAGTCAAGTTTTGTACCTCTGCAAGAAGCTCTACAAATCAACCTGCTAACATTAGTTTCACAGCTGATTCCTCTTTGGTAATATAAGAAATGATCAGTTGAAATTCTGCGTCCCGACTGATAACATGTGTGGCCCAAAACAAGAATATATAGTTAGTCTAACACTATTTGTGATGACTGGTTGGCTGCACTGCAGCATAGCTGCCTAATGCACCGTTCATGGAACCATTACTTTCATGCTTGTCCATAAATTATCCCGCAGAGATAACAATATAATGGTTCTGTTTACTTCACTACCTGCTTGCATTATCTTGCACTATCGGCCTACATCACAATAAGAAACAAACATGTGTGTTCATTTCGTTTTAAGATGGCACAAAATTTCATTTAATTCTATCTCATCTTCATAAGATGACATGAATCAGACAAGTGCAGTATTGAAGAGATGGCACATTCATTCCAGCTTACAATGATCAAGATGCTGCTCATTTGACTCTTCCCTTCTAAATTCAAACCTGACAATATGCTAGTACTGTTTGCTTCTTCAATCGCATTTGATATTCATCAGTGTTTATCTCCACACATGTGCAACGCAGCAGTCAAGTGATCTACACTGAGTAGGGTGTATAAGGCAATGTCTCTCTCCCTCTCTCTCTTTCTGTCCAACAACCCAACTTCATGACTGTTTTTAAAACCAACACCCACAAATTTCAAAGACTGTATTTAAGAGGAAAATTATATGAAGAGGTAAATATTGAAAATATGAAAATGATCACAGTGGTAGAAATGATGAAAGTAGGTAATACATCAGAGAAAGCAACCACAATTCCCCAATTCTGCATATGAAATACAGGAGGAATAAAATATTGCATAGTAAAAGGTAAGAAAGTGGCAATAACAGAAAGAAATGGAGTGTGCTACAGTATGAGCAGATGTGGTCATATCACAGACTACAATTTCTATACTAGTTTCCACTCCAAATATTCTTTTCCACTGACTAGCACTCTGCACTCTGCACTCAAAGACACTTATTAAATGCCTGATTTTAATTTTTCTCCATAGAATTTTTATAAAATTAGCTATGTGACAAAGTCCTTATTTTAGAATGACTTCACTTTCTTTAAAAAGGTATAATATTCATATATAAAAATAACAAAGTCAAACATCTATCTCAAAACTTAAAAGAAGCAGCATATTGTAATATACAATCATGTTACAGAACAAAAATTAAACAAACAAAATAAACACCAAAACATAATAATTTTCATATTAGATTGCATAAATTAATTAATCCAACTGAAGTTACATAGATATTAATATTGAAGTACCCTATTTTAGATGCCCTATTAAATTAATGTGAAATGCACATACATACAAAGTGAACATATGTAAAAAAAAAATAAATATGTACAGTAGCCCCTACTTTGCACTGTAAAACATTTTTGCAAACTGAAACGTTTCCTCATTAAGAAAATGACAGCATTAGCATAATGCAGACCTAGACCAGAAGCTGACAGCGAAACCCAAGAACTGAATTTCGAAGAAACTCTAATAACGTTGATGAGATTCAATAAATCCTATGACAAACAGCAAACAAAGTGCAACGAAATGTTAACATCTATATCTCACATTTTAATTTACTGCATAAGGAAAATGGTATTCACCTTCTTGACAATCAGTCCTCTTTCACTTTGCTTATTCACATGTGTAAGCTGCCACTGCATATTCTACAACATGCTAAAAGTCTTTGGTAACAAGAAACACACTCGGTTTCATTATGTAAAATTGTGATGACTCCAGTCCACAGATAATATTACTATTTACAACACAGGGCATCATGGCATAAACGAGACTATTGGCATCTCAACATCCCAGTCCATGTTGGAGACTTGGCAGGAATGATAAGTGCTATGTCAGCCATGGAGAGTGAGAGAGCTGCCTATTATACTTCTCTGTCCTGCTGTCAGGATCAGGCCATTTGCCTGCCCTACCAGCTGAACATACACAAATTGAGCAAAACCTAACAAACGCTGCTAGTCTGACTCTGATTTATGATGACTGTGATTTGGTAGGTGGTGCTGGTGTCGCCCCAACTGGGGCTGAACCTCCGGGGTTGGGAGTCCGTGATGGAGGTGTTTGCGTACCGCCACTTGACCCATGGCTTCCATTGGAACCTGAACCAGATCCTATGGTTTGACTTGTATCCATACCCTCACTGGTGTGTACCACCGTACTGAAGTATCGTTCTATTAATAAACAATAGTTTTGTGTTATAATCAACTGAAGTGTAAGTCACAAAAATTAAAATGCAGAGTTCCTTGGAGTAAGTTATTATATGCATGATATAAAAATCTCAAAACAACTTCAAATAATAATATTACTAAATTTGTGACAGGATACATTATACAAACCACAGACATACCATCATCCATGAGAGCACCGGCACTGGCTTCTGGGTTGTTACCATTCCCAGACATCAGAGGTGTGATCATATTATAGTCTTCGTCCAAACTGATGAATGGAACATTCCATCGAGGAACAGGCGTAGAGCGAGGAGTAGTACGAGGTGTTGTCACAGGAGAAGTGAAGAGACTCAGGTTGGTTGGACTGATCACACCTGATACAGACATGGCACTAACAGGGCTGATGTTTGAGTAGCTGAATAACTGCAAACAATGTTCACAAACATTTTATTTTCCAAAAAGTATTGGTAAGAAATATAACTTGCATAAAATCTTGACCAACAAAAAGAGCAGTGCTTCTAAAATTTATATGTATGTATTTGTTTTAAAGATTATGGTATATTTTTTGTAAGCGCTGATGCTTTGAGATGTTTTTATGCCTAGGGGTAAATACATGTATGTATGTCCTATTTTTTAGTTCCTGGCTTCACTGCAAGATTTTAGTATGCAATAAAAAAGATTTTAACAAACACATTGATACAATATGGATGTATCCAATCAGTGGTCATATCTCAAAACAGCATACTGAGACCAAGATTACAAAATCATTGGGGTGTTTATGTTTCCTGGGTACGGAATGGAGAACTACGAGGGTAAGTCAATAAATAAGTTACAAATGGATATAGAACTTAAACAAATAAGAGTATTGATTTGAAAAATGCTTTTATTTCTCACCATAATCTCCTTGTACATTGAGGCATTTGTCCCATCATTTCACAAGCCCCTGAAAACCAGCAGCATAAAATTCTTTGGGCTGCTGTCGGAACCTGGTGGTGACTTCCCTTTCTATACAGCTTGATCACTGGGAAAATGTTCAGCTGAAAGATGATGTTTAAGAGGGCCGAACAAATGGAAGTCGCTTGAAGCAAGACTCATCACCTGTGACAATTCAGGCTAGCATATCGTGTCCTTCATTGTGGTAGAAGCTGAGATGCTGTAATGCCAGACCCATTCTTCGCATTTTGTATTGTGGGGTCAGCATGCACGGCACCCATCAAGCACAGACTTTGTGAAAACCTAACCTGTCATGCGACTTCCATTTGTTTGGCCATCTTAAACATCATCTTTCGGCTGAACATTTTCCTGACGATGAAACTGTAGAAACAGAAGTCACTGCCTGGTTCCAGCAGCCCAAAGAATTTTACGCTGCTGGTTTTCAGAGGCTTGTGAAACGATGGGACAAGTGCCTCAATGTACAGGGAGATTGTTTAGGTTCTATATCCATTTGTAACATTTTTTATTGCTAGTGGGATGGGACTAAGTCCCTTGTACTGCGGCCACTTCTGGCCTATTGTACCAGCCCCAGAAGATAGGTGAGGGTGATTATGGAGCAACTGGTGGAATGAAGATTGGCAGGGGAAACCAAAGTACTCGGAGAAAACCTGTTGTCCACCACAAATCTCACTTGACCATACCCGGGATCGAACCTGGGCTGCCGCGGTTGGAAGCCAGTGACTAACCGCCTGAACTATGGCACAACCCCATTTGTAACTTACTTACTGACTTACCGACGTACATGGGTGTAACTGACTTTGGGTCTGGGCTTTGCAACCACAACTGCATATACGGGTCAGTGAGAAAGGTCTGCTTAACCTTCATTTATGAGTTGCCTGTAGGGACATACATGCTGGAAGTAGATCCGATACTGTGGGGCTGCATCATGGCGATAGGAAAGAGCTGTGTTGGGATAATGGTTTAGGTGTTCAGCATTGTAAGTAGTCAGTGAAGAGGATTAAAGAAATGTATACAGACAGATAGAGATGGCAGAGGGTAAGACGAAGGAAAGAAAAATTAAAAATTTCTACACCCCTTTCCTCAGGATGTGGCCAGAACTATGCTGATTGGAAATGGGGAAAGAAATTCAATCATTTTATGTAAAATCATTTCACAGAATGCAATCAATTTTGCAGTGTTTCTTCATATAAAACTGATACAGTAATAATGGCATAATATAAATCATGAGAATGTGTATACAAAACACATCTTTGTCACAGAAAATGGGAATTAAGAAAACTGTACTTACTTGACCTGGCTGAGAGTGGATGTGAGTGAATGCATATTCACGACCAACAGTGAAAGGGCTGGTCACAACAGTGCGACTAGTGGGGACAACATCTACTGAGGATGACGATGCGGCAGTGACAGAACTGGCTACTGCCACAGGTGGTGATGGACTTAGGGCATTATTTGGCCCCCGACTATCTCTAGGAGATCCTTCTCCTCCCATAGGCGGTGTGCTTGAAGCTGGTGGAGAGTTAGCAGTTGTAACAGTCAGCTCACCTATATAACATACGAACATCTACTATAACCTGCTTTAGACTACAAGTCTACTGAGTCCAACCGAACTTAGCATTTAATACATTAATGGAGGAATGCATTAGACACATAATGCTCAATTGCCTTCCTGTTCTGAAGTCAGAAAAGTGAAAATGAATGCCATATATAAACTAAAGTATAAATACAGATCTCAAAGAATTAAATATTACACAGTAGTATTCATAGACTCAATATTCTCCCAGCTGGAATAGTGATATATATAAGAACTTAAGCAGAATGCAAGCAGCAGGAAAAAGGAAACAGAATTTAAAAAGAAATTGCATTTGAAATAATTTAGCCATTATTATTATAGGCACTGAATAACAAAAGCAACTATAGAGGCAGAATTAAAGCAAAGATGATCAGTTGGAAAACCATCAAGAGAAGAGGTTATGGGCAGGTGGAAACAAGGTAAATGTCTCTGTGATCTACAGAAGTTGAAATATCCAAGGGTGATGGTATTGGAAATGCTCCCTTTTTTTATAACATGCCTGAAAATGCAAAAGGTAATGTCCATTTCTTTTGTTTATTTAGAATAACTAAAATATTATTTTCTCTTTGTTATATTTTGAGCCGATTTTCTTAATATATCTGATGACTCACTGAAGCTGCAAGCATAAAAGAATTCTTTGAGTAAACTGGAAATACAGANCTTGAGCTATAGCGCGGAAGGTTACACTGTTAATATTGCTGTCTTCCTATTCAATGTTTACTCATACTCTCTGTATGATACAATATTTTCTTACAAATTATGCTGTATATATTTTTCTGTGTATTTATGATTTATGATGGAATGATGCTATCAGTAACATAGATTCTATAGCATTCAGTGATAGGATGATTAGTGAATAATAAATTAGGCAGCATGTGGAAGGAAGTTGTCATTCATAATTTCAAGCATCATCCAGGTGCTTTCCTAGATACACTATGGAAAACTGAGGGAAACATGTATGTAAATTAATCATCTAATGAAGTCTGAGCATGGGGAAAGCTTTGTAATTGTACTGTATTTCTGTACTGCACTCCAACTTGCTCCAAATCATGTTCTTGAGGATCTGTGGGATACATGTATCTAGCAAAAGCTGTGAGGACACTCTTAGTCACGATAGGTGAAATATGAACCTGAGACCTCCCACGTTCAAATCAGGACTGCTACCCACTTGATCACAATGTCTGGTACTGTCAGATGACATGTATATATACATATATATATGTATATACACATATTTAATATTTTGTACAAAACAGTTTGTACATAAAGTGAACACCGCCTATTGTAATTATGAATAATGTTATCATTTGTGTAATTTTATCACTTTTATGAAATATTAATGAAATGTATTGTAACGTATTTTGTCTCTGAAGATGCAGTTCAGATTGTTAATTGGTTTACTTAACAACCTACAAATTGTAACTACAATTAATTATAACACAGTTGGAGGTTTACACAATTTACACACCCTACACAATAATCTATTCACTCTATCTTCAATAGTCTTCACTTATTCACAGTACAATACAGGAGCTTTACCAGTGTCTCTGTGTTACACACTCCCAATACCTTCTCACACTATCGCCTATAATCACACGTTCTGGTCTTCTTCCCGTGACTGCTATACTTCAACTGTCTTCTGGCTGGCTTCACAATCCACACTCTGTCACTCCTAATCACATACTCTCTCATTCACACACTGCTCAGCCAGCTTCTTATACTGTTCCTTGTTGCCAAGTAGTAACCGCGGTGTCCCCTGTTACATCACAGTGGGAAGTGCTGTTATGTCACCATGGGGGGGGAGGGGGGAGAGGCGGAGTGTTGACTGGCCTGTTACCATGGCAGCAGCAGCGGTTCTGATGCTGTTACATCACTCCTGGCGGGGGAGGGGGTGTCCTGCATAGCGCAAATACGTCACACTTCTCCCTCCTTAAGGCTGTTTGTCCCAAATAGCCTAACGGTGCATCTCCATTCCTTTTCTTTGAAGGCTGTTCTTGCAACGTCTTCTTTTTTGTCCGGCTACTCCTCTTGCAGCTACTATTCTCCAGCTGTTACATCCGCTCCCTTCTTAAGATTGTTCGTCTCGAACAATACCATGGTTCACCGTCGTATCACACTCATTCCTCCCATTCATCCATCACACATTCACTCTCGCTGGGGAGGCCAGTACTTCTATGTTACCGGCTCCTCCTCTACTTGAAGTATCTTTTTCCGTTTTTGAGGGGGTCAACCCCTCCACAAGTTCCATTTCCTCATTTTCGGTAATCTACTGGAAATTCCTACTGCTCGCTTCATGATTTCCAGCCCGATGGCCTTCCTGCAGCTCTCATTTGTTGTCCTCTCGCTTCCAAGCCATAGCTGCTCCTCAAAGTCTCGGTTCCTTGTCAGATTGTTGCCTTCCTGGTTCATCTGTTGTCTCCCTCTGTGCGTCCATCCTTTCCGCGTTCCTTGTACCACATTGTTCCCGGCACAAACTATCCCGACGGCATTATCCTGGCACAGTGGGTCGTCCTAGTTCTAGAAGTGACCAGTTCTCTCCATGGGTGACACTTTTCCTGGGTAAGGTACAACTTTATGATGCCTCTCTTACATCTTGCCACTGCTGCATGATGGGACATCTTCCGGTCTATTGGCGTTTTCCATGCCACTTTCACATGGCGTGTTGTCCCTCTGCAGGTGACAGCCAATTTCTTCTGGGGTCCACAATTTTCCTGTGTCGAATTTTTCGGTTTCTGGCAGTGGCACTCCGGTCCCTATGCCTTTTCTTCTTTGGTTCTCCAACCGGCATCACTGTGGCATCTTCTACGGGGACCTCTGGTTGTTCTGCTGCTTCAGGCTTCCTGTCCAGTGAGGTCGGCTGTTCTTCTATATGCACCTCCATCGTTTCTCGGCAAGCGATACATAGAAAGAACAATGTTTATTGTAATCAGCAGTTCGGTTTCTGTTATTGCTTTTCTGCCTTATTATGACCTTGACACATGCACAGCAGAAGTAATTACATAACTTCCCAGTTTGTTCCTTAGCTCCTATGTGAATATGAATGTTATATTAATGACCTTCTCAGAAAAGACAATAGACAGTCAACTTAATAGAATTTTTCTAATTCTGGGGTTTAATATCTTATTTGTTTTAATGGTGTGTGTGTGTGTGTGTGTGGATTTCCAGAAACATTATGACCGTTTCATTTGTACTGATGAAACTTTTTTAAGAAATATTGGACAGCAAAATTAAAGTATTTTATATTGCTAGATTTTAAAGTTTTCTTTCTGTCCACTTTCACTTTCCATGTACACATTTCTGCCCTTCATCAATAAACAATATTTAATACCTGCATTCTTGTTTTATTGGTTACTGTTATCAATTAAGCTGTGTTCTAAAGTGATCACAATAAGTGGCAGCTGCTGTATATGAATTATTGCACTACAGAGTTCTTAGGTGTTAAATGAAGAAACAAAAGACATGCCAAAGTGCACAACAAATTCCAGGGTTCAAACAAACCAGTGCAAATCTGACTCCACGTTGTTGTCTTGTGTATAAAAAATTCCGATTATCCATAAAGCTAAAGCTTGCAATATTTCTTGCATGTTTCATCTGCTTGCTAACAAATAAGTTTCTCTTCTATCTCAGTTACAGGTTTAAGAAACGCAAAAAGAATCAGAAATAAATTAGAATTGGAAAGTCTTGAAACAGATTGGCATGGTTCAGGAATCAACTGAAGTTTCTGGGATGTAACTAGAGATGTTACATTAGAATTATTTTTGTTTTGCTTCTTACTTTTAATGATGAGACTTGTGTATAACGGTGCATTTTCAAGATGTGGAGACAAAACACATACTGACAATTCATTCCATGTAATATTTATAGTTACTCAACTGGAGAGATTGAAACTGATCTACGAGTTATTAGACGGAGAACACAACGTGCCATATCATTCATACTGTCCAGTAACTAGAATCCTTAATTTTTCTATTGTATTCCATGTAAAGTGAATGTTTTTACAATGAGAACTCTAAAAAAGAATTTATGGCAGAAAGACAATTCTTGGCCAATTATTCCTAAATTTTTCATGGACTTGCTAGTCATTTTACATCTTCTTAAATGCTTATGGTCTGGGTCCAGCGGCTTCCAAATCTATGGTTTTCAGCCACAAGAAAATTCTTATTTTAGTGAATTAAAATTTTATTTGGTTTTGTATAATTATAATGGACATAACAAGATGGTATTCACATTACACTACATTGTGGAGACAAGAAAACTATTCATTATGTCACTTGTGGTTCAAAATTCCTGGAAATTATGCCCCAAATCCAGATATTTTGGAAGACATAATATCCTGGAAGCACCAAAAATGTGTTGCTTTGATACTGTTTATTATGTGTAGCACTATCTATGAATATTTTCTCTCTTAACCTAATGACCAAAAATTGGGTCTTCAGTCACTAAAAGTTCAATGTGGATGCTTGAAACAGGCACATAAAAGTCTAAAATAGGCACTTATAACATCTACCACATCTAATACTTATGAGTCTTAACTCATTACAGCAACATTAACTGTCTTTATAAATTAATTAAAATGAGTAGTACAAGCTTCTTTATTATAATATAATACTAATGAAAAAAAACATTCATCCTACAAGGAAATGCTGTAAGCTACTGTCCAACTTGATCACTTCTTGATGTTTTCATTTAAAACAGTGGATAAATTTAAAATTACAGAAACACAATTACAATTACAAATACTATTGCAACATACTCCCCCTGCAGCAACTAGAACACTGTAATACATGCAAGTTAGAAAATGTGTGGAACTTGTAAGTGTTAATCATGTATAATTAAACTTTAGATTGATCGACAACATACAATTTATAATAACTAACATTCAGCAGAAACATCCAGTCACAATAAAAATATTCTGCATTTAATTGAACTAAACTGAGGTTATTATATTTCAGATCACAATTTTTCACTGATG